TTTTTTAAATGTAAACTGTAATATTTAAAATTTTTTGGGTTATATTAAATAAATACAAGTGAGAAAAATCAACATTACGACACCAAGATTCGAAACTACAATTTTTACGCAATGCGCATTAACTCTACCAACACCGCCACTTCATAATTAAACAAGTAAGAAAGCTCTAGTCGGGGTGCCCGACTAGGAGATACCCTGATCCCAGTCCTCTGAGTTTTTTTAAATTTTCCGTAGTTTGTATCAAGTATTCAAAAAAAAAAAAAAAGAAAAAAATAAAAATCGACATTGCGAGACCAGGTTTCGAACCCGGATTATTTGCGCAACGTGCTCCAACTCTACCAACACCGTCACTTCATAATTAAAAAAAAAAAAATAAAACAATAAAAAATGTTTCATCTCCACTAGTCTCGAACCCCGGACCGAGCTGCATTCGAGCGCCGCCTCTACCAACGCAGCCACTGCATTGATTTGATGATCAGTGTCAAATTTGAACATAAGTAGCAGCTAATAATTCAGCACAATTCAATCGCAATTTCGATTCTTGGAATAGAAAAGAATACACGCTTTTGAAAGTATGTGTGCACACGCATGGGAAAAATGCGTGCGCGTGGCGCTGCTGACATGTGCTTTTGTACATTGGCCAAACGTTTTGTTTAATAACTTCTGTTTTACTTAATGGATTTTAATGAAATTTTCAGCATATGATCTAAATATTCTATTGGCTTGGTTGAGATGCAAACGCCTTCACATAGTGGCCCAATTTCCAAGTAAACTAAAATTTTAAGAATTTTGGGAAATTTGGAGTCGGTATCCAAAATCCAATAAAAATCAAAATTGTATAAAATATACAGATGCCAGAAAAACTATGCGTACAAGCCTAATGAGCGACTTTGATAGAGAATAAATATGATAAATAATAGTATATTTATCAATATTATATTTTTTAATGTAAAACAATTTAATAACACACATTTATCAACAATTTTTTTTTTATAATATTAAACAGTTTTTTTATATTTAAAATAAGAAAAAAACAACGAAAATTCACTTAGAAAAAGTATGCGTACAAACTAAAAAACAAAAGAAAAATAACTTTTTTCAATGAGAATTTGCTAAATTTATATGAGATTGGATACCCCTATCGCTTCTTGGTCTCTTCCAACCGTTTTGGCATCGATGCCACCAATTTCCGGGTGAAATCAACCGGAATTTTTAGCCATTCCTCCATCAGAACCGATTTGAGCATGTCCTTTGATGTAATTATTCGCTCTCTGATCCTGCGCTCCAAAAAATCCCATAAATGCTCTATGAGATTAAGGTCCCGTGACTGGGGAGGCGAATGAAGCTGGTGTCTAGTATTGTAGAGCAACCAGAGCTTGACATTGTGGGCTGTGTGTTTGGGGTCATTGTCCTGTTGGAAAAAAAGGTCCTCCCCAAGACCCAATTGTCTGGCGCTTTGGTGCAAATTGGTTTTCAATATATGGAGGTAATCCATATGGTTCATTGTGGACTCAATAAAAACCAAATTGCCCACTCCAATTGCTGCCGTACACCCCCACACCATTACGCCACCTCCGCCGTGCTTAACGGTTAGAGCTAGATTTTGGACATCGAACGCTGTGCTCCTCTTTCGCCACACAAGCTTTCTCCCCTTGATTCCCAATATACAGAATTTGCTCTCATTACTAAAAATTACTTGGTTCCAATAGTCTGGACTGACTTCCAAGTATTTTCTGGCGAAATCCAGCCGCTTGATTTTATTTGGCTCAGAGATGAGCGGCTTTCTTCGAGCAACATGGGCATTTAATTCATTTTTCTTTCAAAATTTTCTTATGCTGTCTTCGTGAAGCTCTTTCTTGTACTTCTGTTTAACTTCCTGATTAATCTTTGCTGCATTTAATCCAGGGTTTAGCAGCACCGTCTTCAGCACGTCCCCCTTCTCTCTCTTGGTCAGCTTTGAGGGCCTTCTAGAGCGTGGCTTTGACTTAACTGAGCCAGTCAAATTAAAGTTATTGACTAATTTTACGATGAGTTTCCTCAGATCGGGATCAATCTCTTTTGTTTTTCTGCCCATGACGAAATCTACCAACTTAATGACAAAATTTGCAAACCAACACGTGATTGACATCCTTTAATACTTTCTTTACCGTAATATGCTGTTTAACGGTACTAAAAGCTTCACACGACGATTAAGAACAATGGGTTGTTAGTTTGAACGCATACTTTTTCTAAGTGAATTTTCGTTGTTTTTTTCTTATTTTAAATATAAAAAAACTGTTTAATATTATAAAAAAAAAATTGTTGATAAATGTGTGTTATTAAAGTGTTTTCCATTAAAAAATATGATATTGATACATATACTATTATTTATCACATTTATTCTCTATCAAAGTCGCTCATTGGGCCTGTACGCATAGTTTTTCTGGCAAGTGTACATAAAACTACTGACAAAAATATTGAGGCTCTAGTTCTTAAGACGTACGAGATATGTATTATGTATTTACTGCATTTCGATCAAGTTTTTATTCGAAAGCAATTAAATGGAAATAGTTATAGGTGTACTTTACACGGACCTACAAAAAATTTTCATCAAGCTCTTATAGATGCTGAGATCGACGCATTCACACATACGGACAGACTGACAGGGCTCAATTGACTTGGCTTGTCGTCCTGATCAAGAATATATATACTTTATGGGGTCTGCCACGCCTCCTTCAGCCTGTTACATATATTTGTACAAAACCATTGTATCCTGATTTCCCATTTTCAATGGGATAATTAGGGTATAATAATAAATAACTAAAACAACGGATGCGCTGTAAAAGTCAAAAGCAATACATTATTTGGTGCGTAGTTATTTGACGATTTGAATGGAGTGGACCTTGTTTAAGGGCCAGCAGTCCTCAAAAAGTTGCGGACACGTCATCAGCGTCACAAAAAAAATTGGAGGCAGCAGCTTCTTTGCTGCTGTCGACCGTAACGACGCGACGTTGGTTGCTGACACAGCCAATATAGTTCAGCTGGCAGTTAACATGGAACGCAGGCATAGCTTGGATACGCATACGTATACGCGACGTCAACGTCAGCTTCGGTCGCGCTGGCGCAGTCGGCAGCGACAGCGGCGCGCCATAACGGACGGCGCTCAGCAGCGACTACTGGAATTGGGCGCAGGGGTAAAGGAAGATAAGATTTTTGCGGAGGATGAGGGTGACGATGACGAGTATGGGCAATTCAATGTAAACGACTACACGGATTGCTATTATCGAAGTAGCAGCGACAACGATGATGACAGCAACGATTTGTGCTACTGTGAACAATGCCTCAACGTAGGTACCGCTAATCGAGTCGTTTATAGCGCTTATCGGTTTTTACCCAGTCTGCGCTTCTTTTATATAAAACATGACAAATAACACATGCACGCACGCTTTGCTTACTGCGCAGTATGGGCTTTACGATGGAAACTAAGTTGTTGAACATTTTCTCTGATTGGAATTTCTTTCTGCTTTTGGTATGTATAGGAATCAGGGTATAATGGTTTTCTTAAAATGTATGTAATACGCAGAAGGTCAGGACGACAAGACGTGTCAATTGAGCCATAACCGTCTGTCAGTGCGTTCGTCTGTCAGTATGTGTTCATATGTACATATATAAAAGCTAGAGACGGAAGGTCTGTGTGTAGCACGCGCATATCAATATTTAAATAATCGATAACTGTTCCCGTTTTATTGTTATCGATTAATATGGGTATATTTTAGGTAAATTTTTTACACTTATTTTAAGTTTGTTATATTTTGTATACCGGCTCTAAATTTCATTAAATTTAAGTTTAGATATGCTACTATGTATGAGTTTTCATATTTACTATATGCTGAAGTCTTGGTGTCATAATATCGGTTTTAATTTTTTTTTAATGCTTGAAAGGATAGGATAGCGCAGATAGGATTCTGATAAGGGTATCCCCTAGTCGAACACCCCGACTAGAGCTTTCTTGTTTGAAATGCGTATTTTCGAATTTAGGAAGACGGTGGTGTTTGAACAGAATCTCTGTATTTGTTACAGAGACCAACGCAGTAAATCTAAAGCCTCCATGACTTACGTAGTACGGTTAATAAAAAGCCAAATTATCGATTCTTACCAATAATAAGGAAATGACATGAGTTATCTAACAAATAAACAAATAAGCTCGTACTGCGTGGGGTATTCACAAGTATAAATTTCAAACTTCAAGTCCTTTTGTGGACTAGATCATTATGCTGATCATGAATATATATACTTTATGGGGCCTGGCAGGCCTCCTTTTGCCTGTTACTGCCGTGCATACCCGTGGTTAATAAATAATAAATAGACATAAATTTAAGTTAAAAGGAAAAAAGTGGAATAAGTTTAATTTTTTCTTTTCCAAAAGTATTCTATTAAAGATTCCCAATTTTTTTTTATTTTATTGTACTGACTATATAAAAATATCTTAAATGCAATATTTTGTATTTAAAAATAATAATAAAAATGGCTATTATTAAGTTGAATTTATATAATCCAAGCTATTATATTTATATAATACTTCTATATAATCTCTTTTACTATATACCAGTTAACAAACCTTGTGATTAATAGGCTTTCGTCCACATGTTTTGTTTATCCAGTTAGCTTGATTGCCGCCTCTAGATATATTTCTGAGAAACTGTCGTAATAAATATTTATAGCTACGTGGAATAGTATCGTAGTATGCTAGTGAGCAAAAATTTGAAGTTATTTAAATATAGTATTCATATATAAGTATGTGTATAGCTAGCTATATTATATTATACTAACTGCTTATATTCCCTTATCATATCACCATCATCATCAGGAAGAACATGAGTTTCAGACAGCACAAATGCAAAAAGAACTGAATTAACGATGTTGGAAATTGAATTTAAAATGTTGAATTTATTTTTTTAGTATTGCTTATATTAGTCCAATTACTTTCTTTATTTAAAAAACATGTCCTTTTATTTCTACAGGGAGACACGGATTTTGGGGACAGCAATGACGGCATGGACTCAGATACGAGCACTTCCTCCAGTAACAGTAAACAAGTTGTTGTTGGCATCTGTGCAATGGCCAAAAAGACACAATCGAAGCCAATGAAGGAGATATTGACACGACTCGGCGAATTTGAGTTCATCAAGCTGGTTACTTTTGAGGAAAATGTGATATTGAGGGAGCCCGTACAGAATTGGCCCATATGCGATTGTCTTGTGTCGTTTCACTCCAAGGGCTTTCCGCTGGAGAAGGCCATCGAGTATGCTCAGCTACGTAATCCATTTGTGCTCAACAATTTGCATATGCAGTATGATATACAGGACAGACGGCGGGTCTATGCTATACTAGAAAAGGAGTGTATTGAGATTCCGCGTTATGCTGTGCTCGATCGAGATTCGCCCGATCCGAAGCGTAAGTCAGAGGCAACCCATCTCAACAGTATTTGTATTTTACATTGGTCTCAATTTGCAGATCATGAACTTATTGAATCCGAGGATCATGTGGAGGTCAATGGCATTACGTTCAATAAGCCATTCGTTGAGAAACCTGTTTCTGCCGAAGACCATAATATATATATCTACTATCCAACATCTGCTGGCGGTGGCAGTCAGCGTTTATTTCGTAAAATCGGCAGCCGAAGTAGTGTTTATTCGCCGGAATCGCGTGTACGCAAAACTGGCTCCTTCATCTACGAGGACTTCATGCCCACCGATGGTATGCCAACTTGCTCTCTGTGCTCCTAGTCCCAATTTCTTCACATCCCTAATTTCCGAATACGTCTACTGATGTAAAAGCTGTTGCTTCCAACCAGCATGTGCAGGCCGATGCTGAATTTCGGTTAATCTAGTCCAGCATCGGCTATACACATATATTGCTCTATAGATTTTCCAAAATTAAATAATATATATAGAAATGTTCAAATGTCACGAATATTGTAATATAGTAAATGACTTCACGTTTGTCAAGCTAAGCTTCGCCCCAACAAATACCCCGCATGTACGCTCGCTCGTTTACAATTGAAAAATTGGTTTAAAGTTATACACTTATTCGATATAACAAAATAAGTGTGAATGATTATACCTATTTTAAATTGTGGACGAGTATAAAAGGCAAAACATTTCATCATTCCTCATTTGTTTTGCGTCTCGCCCGTTCGCCGATCGCTGCTCGCTGCTCTCATTGCTGAAATCCTTAAGAAAACAAGTGGCCGCCAGTCGAACGCACTGAATCCAGCATTACCTTTACAACTTAGTGTACTTTTCAGGCACTGACGTGAAAGTCTACACTGTTGGCCCAGACTATGCCCATGCAGAAGCGCGCAAAAGCCCAGCGCTTGATGGCAAAGTGGAGCGCGATAGCGAGGGCAAAGAAATCCGCTATCCAGTTATACTCAATCACTCGGAGAAGCTAATCTCGCGCAAGGTGTGCCTGGCTTTTAAGCAGACTGTTTGTGGATTTGATCTGCTTCGCGCTAATGGCAAAAGCTATGTCTGCGATGTAAATGGATTTAGTTTTGTGAAGAACTCCAATAAGTACTACGATGATTGCGCCAAAATATTGGGCAACATGATACTACGTGAGCTGACTCCAACCCTTCACATACCCTGGTCAGTGCCATTTCAATTAGACGATCCGCCCATTGTGCCCACCACTTTTGGTAAAATGATGGAGCTGCGTTGCGTGGTGGCTGTCATACGGCATGGCGATCGCACGCCCAAACAGAAAATGAAAGTCGAGGTGCGACATCCCAAGTGAGTTACTTCAAGTTATTAATTTTTCATTGAATGCAAGCTAAATTAAAAAATGTTAGTCGCAAATCAATTTATATAACAATTAAAACCCGCTAAAGCTACAGTAAAAGTTAAGTCCAAAATGAAAGTCTTATGAGAGCTTTGAAATGTTCCGGAACACTTAGAATTACTAATAACACAGAATTACGCCGTTTAGAAATATTTCAAAAGTTCTAAAAAATCTAAATTTCACTTCTAATTGTAAGTTAATTTGAATGAAATTCATTTATTTTTAGCAAATGATATTTTTCGAATAAGTCTATGTAATATGAACATTATAAAAGTTAAAAAAAAAAAAAAAAAAAAGATAAATATCATTTTAAAATTTTAAAGTTGCAAAAATTAAGATTACTTAAGGCTTACAATACTTTGAAAAATAGAAAAAAAATTAAAATATTTATAGATGCTTATAGAATCGTATACTCTTTAAATTAATTAAAGATTTTATTAAAGATTACAAATAAATACAAAATGGAATTTTAGATTTAGAATCAAACCTATCTTCAGATTTACATTTGACATAAGTTTAATTTACTTAATTTAAATATTTCCAATGTTGCAGATTTTTTGAGATATTTGAAAAATATGATGGTTACAAACTTGGCCATGTGAAGCTTAAGAGACCAAAGCAACTGCAGGAGATATTGGACATAGCTAGATTTTTGCTTAGTGAAATACACACAAAGGCCCATGCGGAGATCGAGGAGAAGGAGAGCAAGCTGGAGCAACTGAAGAATGTGCTTGAGATGTATGGCCATTTCTCGGGCATTAATCGTAAAGTGCAGATGAAATATCAACCGAAGGGTCGACCACGTGGCTCCAGCTCTGATGATGGTATGTACTTATTTTTTTTGTTAACTAATCTAACCACACACTAAGTCCTATCCTTTCCAGCCGAAACACCTGCTGAACCTTCGCTGGTCCTTATCCTCAAATGGGGCGGCGAACTAACGCCTGCGGGTCGCATCCAGGCGGAGGAGCTGGGCCGCATATTCCGTTGCATGTATCCGGGCGGCCAAGGACGCTCGGATTATTCGGGCACACAGGGTTTGGGTCTGTTACGGTATATGCTAGCTTTTTGCTGAAAATGAGCTTTTACCCTAAAATTCTGATTCCTAAATTTCATATTTTTAGCTTGCATTCAACATTTCGTCATGATCTTAAGATCTATGCATCGGACGAAGGGCGCGTCCAAATGACCGCCGCTGCCTTTGCCAAGGGTCTGCTGGCTCTGGAGGGCGAGCTGACACCAATTCTGGTTCAAATGGTAAAGAGCGCTAATACAAACGGACTGCTGGATAACGACTGCGATTCGAGCAAGTACCAGAACTTGTAAGTATAAAATGAATGACCAAAGAATGCTTTATTTTTAAGCTATTGCTCAGAAAAAATATTAAAGTGTCGATATACGAATAAAGCAATAAACAGATATTTATTTAAGGTATATTAAGTTCCCTTCTATACATTATTATTTATTAAATAATTAATTATTATTTATTAAATAATTAATTATTATTTATTAATAATAAACCCCAAGATTCCCATCCTAATTATCATGTTAACGCTTAGTAAACATTAAACCTTTTCTATTTGCAATTTATTTATAAAAATATTGTATTAAAGAAAATTTACATAAGAATTCGTTATTTACATATTACATTTCTTAGTTAGCAATATTCATACAATTTAGCTCCTTTATTTTATAATATTTTAGAAATAATTCTTTTACTTCAGTAAGTAAATTATCTTTCGCACGTCTTTGGAGCTATTCTTCAAACTTTGCACATAATGTATATGTTATAAAATGTAGATTTTTGTTATATTATAAGTATTGCCCCACATTTTACAATATTATTGAAATTACCGTTCAGTTGCAAATATAGGCAATATGCTCTATTTTTCTTTGTCAAAAGATTTCACAAGTTAAAATTTTTTCTGTTGAAATATAAACATACATAAACATAAATAAACATAAATATATATATATTACAACATAAATATATATATTACATGTAGATAGATGCAGTCCGGAGTAGACGAAAATATGGGAGAGATTGAATATCTATTGATTTCTCATTATATATTGAATTATTAGTATGTATACACTTGACTGTGGTGTTGTTCAGTTATGTATTGATCTTCACTCTTTAAAGCTAGGGTTCTTATACCCTGAGTCATGCGTATTTCCTACCTTAAATCTAGTATGTTCATGTCTGAACATTCTGCGGGGGGCCAAATATGAATATGGGAAATCGGGGTATATTGGTTTTGTGCAAATGTATGTAACAGGCTGAAGGAGGCGTTGTAGACCCCATAAAGTATATATATTCTTGATCAGGACGACAAGCCGAGTCGATTGAGCCCTGTCCGTCCGTCTGTCCGTATGTGTGAACGCGTGGATTTCAGCATCTATACGAGCTAGAGACTTGAAATTTTTTATGTAGGTCGGTATATAGCACGCGCGTATCGAGTTTGTTTCAAATATTCGATAACTATTCGCATTTAATTGTTATCGAATAAAAACTGTATTGAAATGAAGTTAATAAATTATATCTCGGACGCCTTAAGAGCTAGAGCCTCCAAATTTTGTATTAAGTTTTATGTATATTTTATGCAATTTTGATTTTTGTTGGATTTTGGATACCGGCTCCAAATTCCCCCAAATTCTTAAAATTTAAGTTTAGTTGGAACTAGGGCCATTATGTGAAGGCGTTTGCATCTCAACCAAGCCAATAGGATATGTAGATCATATGCTGAAAATTTCATTAAAATCCATTAAGTAAAACAGAAGTTATTAAACAAAACGTTTGGCCAATTTGTAAAAGCACATGTCAGCAGCGCCACGCGCACGCATTTTTCCTATGCGTGTGCACACATACATTCAAATGCGTGTATTCTTTTCTATTTCAAGAATTGAAATTGCGATTGAATTGTGCTGAATTATTAGCTGCTACTTATGTTCAAATTTGCAACAGACCGCGAAAGAAGGACAGTGGCTGCGTTGGTAGAGGCGCCGCTCGCATGCAGTTTGGTCCGGGTTCGAGACCAGTGGAGATGAAATGTTTTTTATTGTTTTATTTTTTTTTTTAGTTATGAAGTGGCGGTGTTGGTAGAGTTTGTGCACGTTGCGCAAATAATCTGGGTTCGAATCCTGGTCTCGCAATGTCGATTTTTATTTGAATACTCGATACAAACTACGGAAAATATTTAAAAACTCAGAGGACTGGGATCAGGGTATCTCCTAGTCGGGCACCCCGACTAGAGCTTTCTTACTTGTTTAATTATGAAGTGGCGGTGTTGGTAGAGTTGGTGCACGTTGCGCAAATAATCCGGGTTCGAAACCTGGTTTTGCAATGTCGATTTTTATTTGAATACTCGATACAAACTACGGAAAATATTTAAAAACTCAGAGGACTGGGATCAGGGTATCTCCTAGTCGGGCACCCCGACTAGAGCTTTCTTACTTGTTTTCATTTGGACTGCTGCTGACGGTCTCTTTATTATTTGCATCTTCGTGAAGCAAATTGTTTGACAAAAACGGCATATTTTGTAGCTCGTTATCTTTGCTTCCATTGACGTATGGACGGCAGTCTTTTCTACTAAGTCTATTGAGTTATATAGTTGCTCAATAAACTCCAGCACATTGTCTAATTACTGAATTTGTCTAGCCTTTTTTACATGTTGCTCGTAAAGTTGTAGGACTTCCGTAGAGAATCGACGCAACAGAGTTTGAGTGAATGGAACGTCAGCTTCATTACCAAATTGACAATTTTCCTTTGATAATGAAAAAATATATTCTGTTGCTGTGTCCAAGAACTTGTGGATACTGCCTTCATCATTGTTCTTCAGCAGTTCTTTGTGCGCTTTGCGCTTATTTTCGTAGCGCTTACCTATTAGTTCCCACGCTCAGATATAGCTAGCAGACTAGCCAATTAATAAATGGCCTACGACCATTTTGGCTTTGCCTTTGAGGCATGATTTCAGGTAGTTCAGCTTCCTTGTGTCGCTGATATCTTTCCTATTTTAAATCACCAAGGAGAATAGTTCGAAGAACGTTGGCCACTCTTTGGGACTTCCATTAAAGTGAGGAAGATCCACTTTCGGTAGCTCTGGAACGTCTTCTTTTATATTTTGCAAGTCACTTACTCTTCTGCTTAGTTTTCTTGTGAATATGCTGGCATTGCATTCCAGCTCATCGATCTCATCGATATCAAAAGAAAATTTTCCCTCTAAATCCGAAAGCGCTGACTGGACTTTGTTCCACAGGAAAATAAACTTGTCTTTATAGTGAAGGATTTCTTCCTGGATGCTGAGCTCTAGGTTGGCATACACTTCTTGCATGTGTTTTCTTACTTTTAAAGCTCTTCTGTCCACACGGTCTATCATCACATCCATTGGGCTCGTGCTACTTTGAGAAAATATTTCCTGCTGCCTGTGTTATGCCTTGGATGTCTTTGGTTGGATGGATGCTGTTTGGTCGGTGTCTATAACGTGGTCAGCAAATTTGAATCTCGTTAAAGACTCTTCGTTGCTCCTGATGTTGTCCGTTATGCCATCATATATTTCTTCCTTAAAATATTGATGATCGACGGCACCAATTTGAATCAGCGTTAGATTTTGGCAGTAAATTCTTCCGTTAATTTATCAAGGTCTGATAAAGCATCCTTGTTCGCGATGCTCTGGCGGATGTTATCATAAATCTCTGATGGCTTTTTGAGCAACTCCAGAGTTTTTGTTTGTTTTATTTTTGTGTAAATTTGTTCCTTGATCCGTTGGAGGTGTTTTTGTATTGATCGCCTGGTTGAACATGCTGTGCTTCTACTCACAGCTTGAATTGGTAAGCCAAAGAAAATTATTTAAACAATTTATCACTTAACTTTTACGTTTATCACAAAACGTAGCCTTTTAGATTGGATCGAGGGATCTTGTAATACATTGTCATGTTGTTCAGTATTTTATTATCCAGAAGACCATGTATAGATCTAAATTATTTTGAGCTTGGGTTTTTATACCCTGACTCATGCGTATTCCATTCCTTAAATCTATCATGTTCATGACTGAACAATTACATTATATTGTATTTAGATATGCAGAACTAGATAATTAATTAGTGATACGAACATATGCAGCAACAGCTGTTAAAAATACTAACAGTAAGCCCTTAATTTTATGTTCGGTGTAGAGCCAAGGGTCGATTGCATGAGCTAATGCAAAATGATCGGGAATTCACGCAGGAGGATCGAGAGTTGATTAATCCATGCAATAGCAAATCGATAACACAAGCTTTGGATTTTGTGAAGAATCCGGTGGACTGTTGTCATCATGTGCATTTGCTGATACGCGAATTGTTGCACGTAATCAGCATCAAGAAAGACGATCCAAAGACAAAGGATGCAATACTTTATCACGGAGAAACCTGGGACTTAATGCGCTGCCGCTGGGAGAAGATAGAGAAGGACTTTAGCACCAAATCAAAACTATTCGATATTTCAAAAATTCCAGATATTTACGATTGCATCAAGTATGACTTGCAGCATAATCAGCATACACTGCAATATGATCAGGCCGAGGAGCTATATATCTATGCTAAGAATCTGGCAGACATTGTTATACCGCAGGAATACGGACTGACTCCCCAAGAAAAATTGGCTATTGGTCAAGGCATTTGCTCACCGTTGCTGCGCAAAATCAAAGGCGATCTGCAACGTAACATTGACGAGATTGAGGATGAGTTCATGAATCGATTGAATCCCCATTACAGTCATGGTGTGGCTAGCCCGCAGCGTCACGTGCGCACTCGCCTCTATTTCACCAGTGAGTCGCATGTCCATTCCCTGTTAACGGTGCTGCGCTACGGCGGATTGCTGAACGTTGTTACGGACGAACAATGGCGTCGTGCTATGGATTATATATCTATGGTCTCGGAGCTCAATTATATGTCACAAATTGTTATAATGCTGTATGAGGATCCGACAAAAGATCCCACCTCTGAGGAGCGCTTTCATGTCGAGCTTCACTTCAGTCCGGGCGTCAATTGTTGTGTACAAAAGAATTTGCCTCCGGGTCCCGGCTTTCGTCCACACTCCCATGGAGACAACTCCTGTAATGTGAGCGTGCAGTCGAACGAGGAATCAAATCCATCACGCATCGAGGAAGAAAATGATACAGTTTCTGGAGATGAACAACAGGGCAAAAAGCGCAGTGTACGAATTTTCTTAAATATTAAAAACAAAACAATTGATTGTTCCTATTTCAGTGCCCGTTACGAAGCTCAGCTAATTCATTTGGGTTTAATCGGCTGGATTTGCGTTCCAAACAGGGCAAGTCGAAGCCCATTCCAATTGGCGCTCATCACACGGTCAGCGGGCATGAGGCAATGGACCTGGCCAAGCGCCTAAATGAAGAGCTTGCCTCGCAGCAGCAACATCATCAGCAACTGCGACCCATTAGTCCCGATATACGAGCCGTGAGTCCAGACTGCGAGCCGCGCTCGCGCAGCTTTGAGCAGCGTGGATCGCCGTCGGCCAATCGCGGCAAGGAGGCGGGTATGTATGTGGGCAGCCGTACCGTCTGCAATACAATCAACTATAAATTGCTTTCTGGCCACTGCCTCATTGCTCAGTTACCATTTGGCCTAATTGGCCAGCTTTTTGTTCCACTTGAATTTCAATCCTTATTTCAATATTCGTATTACCTTTTTTTTTTCATTCTAATTATCTTATTTTTTCGTTTTTTAAAATTAATTTTATTTATTTCATATTTTTTTTATATTAATTTTCAATTGGCGTTGTTATTGCACTGACCAAAAATCAATTGACTATATCAACTAACCTGACTATTTGTCAACGTTATTTGTCCTCTAACCAGTTGGTTAGATAAAATTTTCAAAAATGAATGTGTTGATTATATGTTTAATATGTTGTTCTCCTCTGCATGGCAATTGTGCGCGTGTTTTACAACCTTTCGGTTTTTAAACAATGCCCATAACAAAAAGAAAGAACCTTTCCAAAAAGAAACATAAAATCCAGCAGGAGTTGGTTGTGTTTAGAAAATGTCAATCAATGTAACTTTGTTTCGTTACTCCAATGTTAATAGCCTGTGTCCCTTAGGCGCCCGTTCATTCTAAAACATATGTATATATAATATATAGAATATATTATTAATCTATTGATTTGCTATTTATCTCATGTACTACCAACTGCAGAATGGTTTGCCACGCCCCTAATTGGACAATATATATATATTATATATATAATTATATATATAATTGGACAATATATATATTTTATATATATATATAAAATATATATATTGTCCAATTAGGGGCGTGGCAAACTATTCTGCAGTTGGTAGTACCCGACTGCAACGCTCTTAATTATACTGATTATAGTAATTGATTTGATGAAAATCTACTTAGTTATTAATAAACTCGCATTTTGTAAGAGCCTAACCATAAGAAATAAGTATTTTGTATTACCGTATTACAATATCACATACGAATTCTCATGCCTCTTTTCTGAATGCACCGAGTGACATAAAATATTGAATTATAATTTTTTTATATTTTTATACCCTGATCCCATTGAAAATGGAAAATCAGGGTATAATGGTTTTGTGCAAATGTATGTAACAGGCAGAAGGAGGCGTGGCAGACCCCATAAAGTATATATATTCTTGATCAGGACGACAAGCCGAGACGATTGAGCCCTGTCCGTCTGTCTGTCTGTCCGTCTGTCCGTATGTGTGTACGCGTGGATCTCAGCAGCTATAAGAGCTAGAGACTTGAAAGGTCCGTGTATAGCACGCGCAGGTCAATTTTGTTTCAAATATTCGATAATTATTCGCATTTAATTGTTATCGAATAAAAGCATTATTGAAATGCAGTAAATAAATTATATCTCGAACTCTTAAGAGCTAGAGCCTCCAAATTTTGTATTTAGTCTTATGTATATTTTATGCAATTTTGATTTTTGTTGGATTTTGGATGCCGGCTCCAAATTCCCCCAAATTCTTAGAATTTAAGTTTAGTTGGAACTAGGGCCATCATGTAAAGGGGTTTGCATCTCAACCAAGCCAATAGGATAGGATATGTAGATCATATGCTGAAAATTTCATTAAAATCCATTAAGTAAAACAGAAGTTATTAAACAAAACGTTTGGCCAATTTGCAAAAGCACATGTCAGCAGCGCCACGCGCACGCATTTTTCCTATGCGTGTGCACACATACATTCAAATGCGTGTATTCTTTTCTATTCCAAGAATTGAAATTGCGATTGAATTGTGCTGTGTTATTAGCTGCTACTTATGTTCAAATTTGCAATAGCTCGCGTAAGAAGGGCAGTGGCTGCGTTGGTAGAGGCGCCGCTCGTATGCAGCTCGGTCCGGATTCGAGACCAGTGGATATGAGACGTTTTTTATTGTTTTATTTTTTGTTAGTTATGAAGTGGCGGTGTTGGTAGAGTTTGTGTACGTTGCGCAAATAATCTGGGTTCGAAACCTGGTCTTGCAATGTCGATTTTTATTTGTTTTCTTTTTTTTTTTAATACTCGATACAAACTACGGAAAATATTAAAAAACTCAAAGGACTGGGATCAGGGTATCTCCTAGTCGGGCACCTCGACTAGAGCTTTCTTACTTGTTTTATTGTATATTTATGTTATGACATTGATTGTTTTTACTGTTTTTATTGCGGTCAATACACTTGGCAATGATTTCAATGTATCTGTTTAATTCTATCACACATTTTTTAAAGCATCACACAATGAAAAACCAGATATCAAGAAAACTGAACCCAATATATTTTATTATCATTTTTTCCACACAAGCAAAACTATTGTCAATTTTAAAGAAAAAAAAAAAACAAATCAAACACATTTCAGGCAGAAATTATAATAAAGGCTAAAATATCGTTTCTAACTCCAGTTATTACTTGAGCTCTCTCTCTATTTATTTCTCTTTCTCTCTCTTTCTCACACACTCCTCTATCACTATTTTTAATCGACTTGTATGTGGGGTGGGGGGAAGGGTGGGTTTAAGCTCCAGAGACGGAGATATCAGCTGTTTTGGGGGGAATCAATGAAAATCAATAGGCATCTGGCCGCGGAATCCCGTGTACTTGGCAATGCAGCCAATCTGAGTTGATTAATATTCACTCTTAGCGACATACTTAGCAAACCTATCAAGAGCCCGTAAAAGTATTTCCCGTCTTGTAATATCTAACCGTTTTTATATATCGAACGGTTGAGTACCAGAAAATGATGACACGCGCACAACATTACCTGGCGCCCAACAGTTGTTGATTTGTGGGAACTGTTAGTGTAGATACCTCTCTCCTTCTCCCGCCATTTTCCTCTGTATATGAGCATGGCTGTGACAAAGACAGAAGAAATATGTATATATATATTATCCTCTTGCTTTTGTCAAAGACAAGCTAATCCCTCTCACAATCTCTGACTCTGTATATATTAGTCTTTCATAACCTAGTTCGTTATACCTATAGTATTACTCGCCTGTGTCTGTTTTGTTGCGCCTGTCTCGCTATCTCGCGCAGTCTGTCTCTTACTTGATCTGTTTCCGTCAATCCTTTTCCATATACATATGTATGTATTGATTGTTGGGAATATATGTGTTGGTTCCATTTAATTGCCACATTCTTAAGCAATGAATGTACTATATTATCTGTTGTTGTTGCCGTTGTTCCTTATTTGTTTGTGTGCTTGACTAATTGTTCGTTCGTTCGTTTGCTGTGTGCACAAATATCCAAAACAGACTAACTCTTATTTATGCCTCCAAGCCTAACTCGACATTAACTCACAACTAATAGGACTTATTTTTGAACAATCGCCGGCTGCTGTTGCTCTACGCCGTCGATGCTCCGTATGCATTTCAATTTATATTTTGCAAGGCATCTGCAAAGCATTAAAAAGTAAAAAATACAATACTAATATCCTAAAACAAATCAACGTTTGTCCAATCAATTTTTATTTTTACAATATTTCAAATACTTTAAATCATAAGAAACAAAGAAAGAAAGCATTAGCTGGAAGAGCTCGAATACGAGATACTGTGTTCGATCTGCGTTTTTTAATATATTTTCGATTGTACTCGGTTGAAAACACTTTCGAATATCAGGAATTAAATTATACCTCTATTTTGGAGCTAGAGTCTCGGTTAGGTAGCCAAGCTAGCAGACCCCAAATTAACGAAATTTTTAAAATGACAATTTAGTTTCAAATAAAGCCAATTTGTGAAAGAGTTTGCATATTTCATGAACTCTTAAATATTGAATATTTTTATTTAAATCCATTATGGAACACTTAATTTATTAAAAAAACGCTTGGCCAATTGGTAAAGCACGTGGCAAGCAGCGAAGGCGTATGCATTTTTGCCATACATTCATTTCGTGTGACCGAGGACTTTTGAGTTCAACCTGAGCGCGTTGCCAAGGTGATTTTGATTTGAGTCTTGGTGTCCTAATGGTTTTATTATTTTTTTTAGTGAGAATTGAAAAATATTTATAAATGTATGCTATATGCTAGCTATGGAGTATATTTGAAAAGGTAGATTGGACGAGGCTTCTAGTGGGGTACTGCCGAATAGAGCTCTCTTGTTTGTTTATTGCCAAGTAGAATAATACTATCATCAACGCTCTTACTTAACACATGGTTAAATTACAGATTTTTATATTAAGAGAAAATAAATAAATACATACATGTATGTTACATATTAAAATATATATACATGCTTGCAGGTGTTTTTTGTTTTCGGCATGCCGAATAGATTGCATTCCTCTTGTTCTAATTCTAATTTGATTATTTCGGCTAATTAGTTTTATGTTTATATATATTCTACGACCAAATACACGAACACACATACGTATATACACATACGCACACACACGCATATATATATATATATATATATATATATATATATATATATATATATATATATATATATATATATATATACATAACCATACCCACGAACGCGCGTTTCCTTAAACAAATATCGAACAAAACAAAATTTCTATGTTTCCTCTATTGCCCCACTCTGTGCGCTACTAATTTCTTGCAGCAACCTTTCATGAGATTGTCAGTGCACGTGTCGGCATGAGTGCGGGCGTGGCTAGCGGCAGCAGTAGCAATCGTAGTGTCAAACAATTACGCGTAACAGACAGATTGTCGTTTTTTAAAATCGACTGCTCGACTAATGAATTGCCGCTATCGGACATAGATTTTTCATTGACGCCGGGCACACCGCAGTGTGTGAACATGAATTCTGGAAACAATCGAACGCACAAGCGTCACAATTTACTAAGCATGCGTCGCATGGTTAGTGGCGAGGAGTCCGAATTTGAAGGTCTGAACTTGCCGCAAATTTCACCACTGGCAACAAACGAGAGGCCACTGAGCTGCAATTGCAATTATAGCAATAATTTTAATTCGCTGACCGCAGCGCAGCCGCATGCACATGCTAAGAGTCTGATGCAGCTGGCTATAGCTAAGACTTTGGCTGCCTGCATCAGCAGTAGCACAAGCAGCAACTATAGACAACCCACGACTTCTGCTGCGGCGGATGATTTTCAGCTATCAAGGTCGGCACCTGCGGTGCTGCTAAGCAGCGTATTTCAGCAGAGCCTCATTAGTGATGGTAGCTTGCGGCCGGTAGCCGACCATGGCACTAACTCACCCACAGCCTCCACGCTGCGTCTGTGTATGGATATGGAGACGCACCATCGCCAATTGGAACGGGGTCAGAGGAAGGCTACAAGCCATTCATGTGGTCAGCTTTCCGTATTGTTGGCACCGGTCTTGCCCGATAATCCATTTCAATTTAGTTTTGCGCATGAACCAACTGGGAATAGTTTTGTCAGTTCATTTGCACCCATTGCAGAACATGTCACGCCCATTGCCACGCACACAGTCAGTCAGACAGTTATTGAGCCGCAGCTATCTTATAATATACCCATCGTGCTGATAACAGTAGCAGTTACAGTAACAACAGCAAATACGGCCATGACAGCGACAACAAACAGACAAATGACTGCAGCAGCAGTAGTGATAACAACAGCAACAACAACCATTACAACAATCAGTTTACCTAATAATACAACAATGTCTTCTTATCAATCCATTACTAATCAATTGAAACCAATCGATTCCCTCTCAATTGACGCACTACAACAACCACACAACACCACAAACACAAACATCCACACAACCGCAATCGTGACGTACACAACTACAATAAACAACATCACAACAATGCCCCCGTCTTGTTGTACCAATACAATCGTCACAGATACCAACGCTACGGTCTCGGTATCGGCATCGGTATCATCGGCCAATTCGTCTACATCGTCGCGTCGCCAAAGACACAGTATTGCCGGCCAGATGTCCTATATGAAAATGTTGGGTTTCGGTGGTTTTAGCAAAAAGATGGCAGCCAGCGCGAATAGCCTTTTCAGTACGGCAGTTATAAGCGGCAGCTCATCTGCGCCAAATCTGCGCGATATGATACCGGTATCATCATCCGGTGAGTATACGAAGACACATACACACCCATTAATATACGCCCACACACCCATAAAATGTACTATAGATCTTTGTTCCAAATCATGTTATTTAAATTCTAACAAAATAAAAAGCAAGGCAAAAATATTTTATTTCGTTTAAAAAATAGTACATCTGATTGTACTATAGATCTGTAATTGAAAGTCTAATTTTCCTGTTCTGTTAAAGTGGACCGAAGAGAGTCATGATTAAAGCGTTGTATTCTTTTTTTAATTATATACAATCCATTAGAAAACAATTAGTCTCAGGCTTGAGTGCATATATTTAGATATAAGAAGAGATTAGATAAACGATCATTTTTTTTAGTTAATGGTGGAGTCATCATATTAAGCACATTGTAAAGTAAAACAGCGAATAAATTGTACAAAAACTATTCAATGTGAATTTTATAATTAATTAATTCGTATAGAGATTTCATTATCATAATGCACATATAAACACACAGGTACACTTTTTCTCTGAGATATAATATATACATATATATATGTATATGTATATATATGATATATTCGTTTGACTCCATTCCTCCTGTTCACTCTTCAAATACTACATTGCATATAAAACCGAAAGTATGAAATGTTTAATTGGTTTACATATGTGCCATGCATTTAGGATTTGGAGATGTACCACCGATTCGGCCCCTGGAGACACTGCATAATGCTCTATCGCTTCGTAAGTTGGACAGCTTCCTGCAGGATATGGTCTTGGCACAAATCTTTAAGACGCCAACAGGGTCACCGCCACGCATCCCCGAGGAAGGTGCCGGCAGTAATTCAGCATCGCTTTTAACCCCTGATATTGGTCAGCATGTGTCGGCATCTATGCCATCGGACTCCATGGCAGCCTTCTCTTCAATGATAGACCCAAGAGATGCTATCGTGTCCACGACAAAATTAAAAGTGAGAGGTCAGACCGTTGAAATTCCCGGAAAATGCGACCAGTCTAACATTAGCGATCCAAATGAGGATCAAACACAATCACAGTCGTCGGATTTCGAAGATGCCAACGATGTGGTCATGAAGCATATATTACCGGAAGCAAAACAGCGTAAGTTTTGTAAGCGTAAATCACGAACTAGTTGGCGCAACTGATATCGCTGTTTGAATCAATGATGAGCATGCTTAAAGGATTCTCGTTAATATTTTAAGCAATGCGTTTCAGTTTCATGCTGTATTTATACTTACACATTTTTCATACCTACAATTATTTCGCATTTCGAAGTATCTATAAGTTGGAAGTCTTTTCTGATTGTAATGATAAAAGTGTTAATTTGTTTCTGATTTTTTTCTTTTCTTTTTTTGTTTTGTTTTTACTTGTTTATTTTATCTTCCAGTGGAATAAACCATTGCATGATTGTTCGTTGAGTATGGTTTGACTGCTTTATCAACAGATATTTAATCGTAGATATCTTAAATATAATCCTGCTGCGGTGTAACCCAAAACTATTTGTATATGACTGTAGAATAACAATTTGATTTTGCCAGTTTTTAATTTGCAAACTATTTCAGTAATTGTAATTTATTAAATTGAGAGCTACATGGAAAAATAAAGATTGGATTGTTCATCCTTGTTCATCCTTTGCTTAAACTTTGTATTATTGCACGCTTCACTGGCACTGTTACTCTCTCTCTCTCTCTCTCTCTCTCTCTCTCTCTCTCTCTCTCTCTCTCTCTCTCTCTATTTCTCTGCTCGTATACTTTTCTTTATCGTTTGCTCTGATGTGTGAAAGCATTATGAAAGTGAAAGTTTTAAAAGTTTGCTCTCCTACGCACTGAGCGTCTCCGACTTATGCGTGCAATCTCTTGCAGTTGTTTTCACCCTTCCTTGTCTTAACACTCTTTACTTAAAAAACTAACAACTTAAACAATTGAACAAACCACACCAACGAATTGCAAACAAGTTTGGGAACAACGACCACAGGAAAAGAAGTTGACTTCAGTCCGGCAAAAGAACAGAGAGCAAGAAGATACGGATCAGATCAAGAGGTGTGTGTGATGCTCTCTTTTAAACTTATACATATATCTAATTTTTATGCTTTTATAATATTTTAAGAAATTTGGATATTCTTTTGCATGAGCCAAATGTGCAGCGCTGCTTTGAGCCCATGAAGCAAGACACACTCCCGCTAACCAGCACCATAGCCGGCATCTATGATGCAGTCTACGATGATACAGAACTGAACAGCGCCTGCTTAACTCCTGTTTGCTTTGGCATTGATAACGAAATGGACTTGAGTATGGTGGCTAACAAAGGTTCCATGACACTTTCCGTGGATGTGAGTCAGAGTCTGTGATAGTCACATTCTTATATCATAATTTGATCTGCAAATTTAAATAAGAAAGTAATTTATGTACATGTATGCAGGACAGAATGATTCAAACAGAAACTTTCGCAGGTTCCGGATATCTCCCAGTGGGGCACTCTACAGCACTCTTAATTTGTATGCTCATTCATAAAATTTAAGAGTATATAGGTGCTGTACACTACTAGTACAAAAGACATCAAATTTATAATATATACTCGTGTTGACTTAAGATAGTGGACATATGGGATATGGGGGCGTGTCAAATTGGAGAAAACCATATCTTCTAAAGCGTTGGAACTGACAGCGTTTAGACCGTGACTTCTTTCTTCTCTGTACTTTTAGGGTTTTGAGGATGATGAGGAAACAACACTGTCGGTAACAAAGATGCCTTCGTTGCCTGTTGATTTAGAACCCAAATTGGAGATGTGCTACTGCTGTCCGACGCATGCTGTTGCACCACCGGATGTGGCCATGGATGATCCTATGTATTGCTTTTCAATGCCCGTTCACGTTACCCAGGCATCATCTGACCACAATTGGTTAAGCGTACGACGTGCTCAAGACTCGATTTCGCCTCGCGTACAGGAGCAAATTAATTTGTTTGAAGGCGTTTCCACCAGTGTGGAGGCTAGTGTATTGCATGCGTCCATCAACCTGCCGGCAGCGGCACAACAGCTGCGTCAGGATGCGCGATTACGTAAGTTTGAAAATTTAACGCAGTCCACGTCCAATTCGAATTTCCCGTTTGAGAGTAACACATTAAAGCGTGTGCCGCTGGTCAATACCAAGGATGATTATGCGAATGTTTCGCATACACAAAGCTGCATTAATTTGAAAAGCAGCGGTGCTGTCGGTTCCATCGCTGCTTCCCTAATTTACGGCTCCCCGCAGCATCAACGTGATGGCACACTCTTAAGAGGACAACAGAAAATAACTACAACTGCCTGTTATAGAGCTGGCCCGGCCAATTATAACCGGTTGCCTAATGCACTATCCGTTTGCTGTTCGCTGGGATTGGACGCTAGCTGCAGCAAATCAACGCCAACTTCCTCGGTGACAATGGCGGCACCACATCCAGGTGCTTTAATTGTTAAGGAGCGCTTTATTGAACCACCTAAACTAGGTACTATGCGTGGTTATCACGCCAAAACGCAGTCCATGGACGCTGACTTTCTGTTTAACGAGTTTTTATTGCTGCCGGCGATTTTACCGCCAATCGATGTGGCACAGCCCAAGGAGCAGGAGCTGAAGACGCCCAGAGAATCATCGCATTACTAATCAAACTATCTATATCTCTAACTATATTATAAAATTTCTGTTGCGATTGCATTACTATTTGAGAAACTCAAATAAATAATTAACTATTTTCTTGTCCCAACACCTGTCTAATGAATCATTGAGCTGAGTTGTGGTTAATTTGTCAATATCGTTTTGCAATTTGAAAATTTTGATTTAACATAAACGTATAGAATAATTGTTCATATTCATATAAGTTTGGTTGAGGCTTTTTCACAAACTACTTCAGCGTAATATTTAGGTTATAATTGTATTTCGAGCATGTTCCGCTTAGAAGTGTTTTTATACTGTTGAAAATGGTAAATCAGGGTATAATGGTTTTGTGCAACTGTATGTAACAGACAGAAGGAGGCGTAGCAGACCTCATAAAGTATATATTCTTGATCAGACGTCTGCCTGTCTGTCCGTTCTTCTGTCTGTCCGTGTGTGTGAACGCGTCGATATCAGCATCTTAAGAGCTATAGCCTCTAAATGTTGTATTTAGTTTTATGTATATTTTGTGCAATTTTGATTTTTTTTGAATATTGGATACCGGCTCCAAATTCCCCCAAATTCTTAAAATTTAAGTTCAGTGGGGAATAAGGCCACTATGTGAAGGCATCTCTACCAAGCCGAGAGAATATGTAGATCATATGCTAAAAATGTAGTTAAAATCCATTAAATAAAACAGAAGTTATTTAACAAAACGTTTGGCCAATTTGCACAAGCAGCGTCAAGCGCACGCATTCATTCAAATGCGTGTATTTTCTATTCGAAGAATCGAAATTGCGATTGAATTGTGCTCAATTATTAGCTGCTACTTCTAATTTACAACTCTTACTACAAGCAGTGCATTGGCTGCGTTGGTAGAGGCGGCGCTCGTATTCAGTTATTCCTTGGTTCGATCGTGGCTGCTATGGGACATTTATTATTTTTTAATTATGAAGGGGCGGTGTTGGTAGAATTGATGCGCGTAACGTAGAAATCGTGAGTTCAATGTTTTGTTTTTTTTGAATACTCGATACAAACTACGGAAAGCTCCTAGTTGGGCACCCCGACTAGAGCTTTCTTACATGTTTCTCTTTCTCAATATAAATAGGCCAATTCCAACTGGTTTTATTTTCATTCGAATTATTAATTTTGTTCAGTCTTGTATTCTCCGGCTCGATATTCTTATTTGAGATATCTACAGTTCTAAAGAAATATGAGGAAAAATAAATATATTAGGTTATACTACTGATTATAATCATATTAATCACTTGATGGTGTGGTTTTGCGGCTTGAGACATAACTATGGATTGAGCCATTGGAGCACTGATAATGACAGGTTGCTCAGCCTAGACCCCGAAATTGTGGGTGATGGACGAATCTGTGTGGGAGGGACGAAGTCAGAATGCGTGACAAGCCGGTTTTTATTTTAGAGAGACGTCTACGTTTTCACTTGTCCGCTATATGGTAACTATATTTTGTAGACGCATACATTTACCTCGATCCACATTCGATTGCAAATTTCAATTTGTATTCGTATTGTACATGCTCGTTACTGTATTCTAAATTGCGTATGCAAGGCATGCGGCCACACAGCCAACTTCACACATTGAAAAATGGCCGTTATTATATACATACACAAGATAGGAATGGAAATACTAGTACGAGTAATGAGGGGCAACCTTCCCTGTCACGTTGATGGCGTGACTACGATAGCTCCGTAGCTTGCCGCAATCAAAGTCTTAACTTCTCAGTAACCCACTATTTTTTTTACCAATGCAAATACACAGATACAAGATAAGACTAAAGCTTTGTTTAGAAGTTATTAAAGTACACATATATATTATCTAGTACAAACATCTTAGCTGGGCAGTGGATTTAGCTATCCAATTTGGTGAAAGACATGATTTTTATTATACCCAGAACCTATCGAAAATGTTTATATTTGAGACCAGAGAACGAGAGTATACAAAAACAAATTGAGCATAACGGGACTTATATGAAAATCGACCATTCCGATTGAGTGATCAAATCACACTGATGTTAAGGTCATATATTTTTGTAATCATGATTCTCAAACCCAACAAGTCAGAGAGCTGCAGATTGTCATATCGTCCCATTAGTTTGCTGGTGATATTCTCTAAAGTATTCGAAAGGATACTTTTAAGAAGAATGTCAGTGGTGCTGGACGAATTAAATATCTTACCGGAACATCAGTTTGGGTTAAGAAGACGGCATGGAACACTCGAGCAATGCCATCATATAACGCATGCAATTATTGATGCATTTGAATGCAAAAAAAATTGCATTGGTGTCTTTTTTCACATTAAATAAGCGTTTGATAAAGCCTGCAGGTCTTCTTTACAAAGTTAAGAAGTGGCTGCCAGCACCATACTTTACTATTATAAAATCGTACCGGGTAAGCCGATCCTTTTATGTACAAGACCACGACGAATCATCCAACATATACACTTGTGAAGCTGGTGTTCCGCAAGGGAGTGTTTTGGGTCCAGTTTTGTATACAATTTACATAGCTGACCTACCTACAACAAACGCTGTTGAGATAGCAACATATGCTAATGATATCGCAATCATTGCTACGAACACTGACCCACAAGTTGCATCCAACTTACCCCAAGAAGAACTCGGTCTGATTGAAGTATGGCTTCAAAAGTGGAGAATAATAGTGATCACGCAAAAGTCAGTGCAAGTTACATTTTCTCTGAGACCTGGAAGTTGTCCTGCAGTCACACTAAACGGTCATGCTATACCTGCTAGTGAATCGGTCAAAAATCTAGGTGTTCATCTTGATCGGCGGCTAACTTGGAAGCAGCTCATCAAATCGAAATGAGAGCAGGTCAAGTTATCATGTTGTGAAAATTTGAATAAGAAATTCAAAATGATTATATTGCTTTTTGCAAGACGGACAGTCTTGCTGTTCTTATGAACGCCAGTCGTTTTGCAGCTATTGGAGCTAGAGAATTGAAATTGGAAATAAATATTCATGATATCTAACGCTAATATTTAAAGCGCTAGAGACATTAAATGTGGAATTCACACTCGCATTGACAACTAGAGATCAGAAAGATATGGCGCATATATCTGTATCATCTACAGTCTCAGATTCATTGCAATAGTGCATTGGTGGCACTATTAGCACTATTGGTGCTAGAGACTTGAAATTTAACCATATCTCCGGTTGAAAACCCAGGGTCACAAATTTATATTGGATGGCAAAACTCTATTTCTTTTACAGTTTTAGAGATAGCAGCTTAAAAATCGATCAAATTCGATAATTATAATTATAATTATTGCTGACATCGTCAATCGAATGTAGTTTTCACAGTTTTGGAGCGTAAGCCTCATTGGGGGCGTGGAAAATGGAAAAACGCCGTCACTATTACCCCTATTAATTGCCAAAAATTCCATATATTCCTCTTGGATATACCTGAAAACTATGTATTGTATTGTTGTCTTGGATCTGGCAGCGTTATTAATGTTTTTAAATTTTAACGTTGCTACTGCTGTTGTTTTCATTTGCTTTGTCAATTTTAATTTTGGGTGCGCACCTTTTAACAACAGCAATTAACATTTTTTCCAAGTTGTACCCATATGCAAAAAGTTTCCAGCCAATTTAGTTTTTTGCTTAATTTTAGTTCAGTTCAGCTGTATCAAGAGAAAAACTGAGCCCATCTCAAGCACACATACACACTCATCATCATATATTACTAATATGGATATGCGTGTGCTCTGTATGGTATTTAGTTGGATGTTTGTGCCAGAAAGGGGAAAGTTCTATCTTTATCGCTAGCCAAACTTGCAAATGGGGGAGCAGCCCATCACAAAAATAAAAACATACTAACATATCCACTATATAAAAGTTAATTATAATAAAAGTGAGTTGAGCTAATAGCTATAAGCTGTTAGTATTTCTAATTTCTTATTTATAAACTCTAAAGGATTGTAATAAAATGTCACATAGTTATAATGAAATATCGAAAATCTAAAGCATTGTATTTCTATTTTTATTTTAATGCGCATGTCTGAACATGTCCAATTGAAGACGTTAGGAGGTAGTCGTCAACAAATTGTTCATGCTCCAACATCCTTTCTTTTTGTTAGAAGAGTCCAAATGTTCATGATTGAACAGCAGATAGTCCATTTGCTGATTTTATTTAGTTTATTTTAGTTTAGATTATAGTAGATATATACTATAGATATACAGTGTTTCACAGTTTATTTCAACCAGCACCTTAAAAAAAGTTTGTTGGGCTATAAAATCTAAACTATTGGGGATATCCAGAAAATTTAAATGCAGGTTGTTAGTGTGATGTTTAAACTAATATAAAATCAATTAATTTATTTTTTAAATATTTTTTCAATATTTAATAATGTTTAAAAACGGCTTATTTCAATCACAAACTTTGCATCTGATGAAAGATCCGTTATTTTGCAATGCAAACGGTAGATTCATGTTCTATGCTTTATTCACTGTTTTCGCAGTGTGATAAAATAATTTTTGCAGAATTTTGAAAGCTCAACTTTCAGAAAAGTGAATTTAGCAAAATGGGACCACGCACACCTATTGAGCAGCGGGAACTTGTTCTCAAACACTATAAAAATGGTCATTCTCGTAGAAAAATTGCTGAGATGGCTGGATTTAGTGATTCTACAGTTCAAAGCATCATATACCGGTTTGTCCGTGAAAGTATAACCCACAATAAAGGTAGAAATGCTCCAAACAAAATTTTTAATCCCACGGACGAGCGCTATATTGTGAGAAAAATCCGGGATAACCCGAATATATCGGCTCGACAAGTAACCAATGGTGTTAAGGAGGAGTTGGACAAGTCATGCCACCCAGAAACTATTCGCCGTGTGCTTCGGGAACATGACTTTAATGGCAGAGTACCACGCAAGAAGCCTTTTATAAGCGACAAAAACAAGACAAGGACATTGGATTTTTAATTTAATTTGTTTGGGATGGATGGGCCCTCATATGTGTGGCGTAAGCCTAACGCAGAGCTTGACGCAAAACATTTGAGGGCTACAGTAAAGCATGGCGGAGGCAGCCGGCGTTGGGAACTTAGAGTTCATTGAGACTACGATG